GATTGCATTTTGAGGATTGTGCACATATATCTGTTACGTGTATATGATGTTGTCACCATTAAAGTCTACATCCTCTGTTAGATTAATATCAAGATTGATCGCTGATCTTTTTGTATTGTTCTGTGATTGTGTTGTGTTTATTAGATTTTAGTGTAAGTTTGATGGTTTGATCACAGACCAGAATGTAGTTGATAAAGCTCTTTGAATTACTAGTCTTGATTGTTATAAATCATTATTTGTTGTATTTTTGTTTTTATATTCATTTTGCTTCACATACATCGTTTCCTTAATATGTATGCAGTGTTTAATAGTTGTGATGTTCTAAAGCCTTATGTGGCTCACCTTGATGACATATTCAAGGACTTCACTTCCTACAAAGTTCGAGTTCCTGTAACTGGCGCAATCATTTTGGATGAAACATATGAACGGGTGAGGTTTCTTGTGAACAAGTTAGCGATAATTATTCTATAATTTTTGTTTTCCATTTGATGACAGTATTTTCTGTAATCTGGCCATCCTAAATTGGGGGATCTGTTGGTGTTAGAAATTCACTTTTGTATGTCATGATCTTGCATTGGATATAAAATGGACACTTAGTCAATGTACTAAGTCATAATGGACATAGCTTCCCAAAAAAATAAAATAAAATAAAATAAAAATTAGAGATCAAGTATTGACAAGTAGACAAACTGAAATTATTAGGTATTTTGGCTAAACTAAAGGTTTTTCGTTATGGTTTTGGACTCCAATTGGGCTAACACGTTATTCAATTTTTAAGAGGTTAAAGAAGTCTACATTGGTCTTATAATCTTATAAAAATGTTCTGACTTTGTTTTTTATTTGTTCAATTTGCAGTGCGTATTGGTGAAGGGATGGAAAGGGTCAAGTTGGAGTTTTCCACGTGGCAAAAAGAACAAAGACGAGGAAGACCATAAATGTGCCATCAGAGAAGTAAGATTAACTTTCATCCAATTCATTTGTGTTGGGAGGAATTAGTTGCCAGTCCACCTGTCTGCCTCCAGTATTGGTGTAAGCTGTAATTCTTGCTGCAAATGCAGGTCCTGGAGGAAACAGGGTTTGATGTTGCTCTGCTTCTTGACAAAGATGAATACATTGAAAAAACTTTTGGACAGCAAAGAGTGCGGCTCTATATAATTGCTGGAGTGAAGGATGATACTGCCTTTGCACCCCTCACCAAAAAAGAGATCAGTGTATGTGATTCTTTAATTGGACAATCTTGCTTATCTATCTATTGTTATGTCGACGTTTCTATAAGAAAACATTATTCTTTTACTCGATTACACTTAAGTTCTGGAAAGGACTCCTGAAAAGGATGCCAACTAACTTTTTTAATGTTCTTATGCAACTGAAATGAGCTTTTAGAGTAATGTTCTTTTTTTTTT